AATTTTTTTTTTTTTTTTTTTAATAAAAAAAAAAAAAAAAAAAAAAAAAAAAAAGAGTTGTGGGATCGATTCCCAGTCAGGGCTCATACCTAGGTTTCAGGTTCAATCCCTGGGTGGGGTGTAGGAGAGGCAAGTGACTGATGTCTCTCTCTCCCCATTCCTCTATCTCTAAAATTAATAAAAACATATCCTTGGGTGAGGATGAAAAAATAAAAACTTCCTACTTTTCAGTAGAAAACTTTGCATATATGCAGTCTATGATCAATATATATGTCAGAAATAAAAAACCAAAAAGTCAGATGAATGTCGCTACTTAAAATCAGTAGGTAGGTCTTTTTATTTTTAAACAGAATATGCTACACAAATTAGTCATGGGAGTATTACTTTAACTATCATTTTGTTCAGCCTATAGATGACAAGATAAGTAATACAGTAGTAGAGAAATCTTCACACTTTGACATATAGAATTCTTTTATTGTTCCACATATTTAGAAGCTGTGATTAAATGGTAATATTGAAGAAGTGATTTCAAACCACCAAAACTTATAGGTTTCATTACTGAGAGCAAAATAAATCCATACTGCTGTGAATATCACAGGAACTTAAAATCTCCTCACTACTAGGAAAACCAAAACTAGGCCACAAAATTTTTTTGAGAAATATGGGGCACTGGAGTTATGTAGTTAATACATTTAATACCAGAATAGCATAAAATGTTCACCCATGGGACTCAATGATAACTAGTATTAGCATAAGATAGAACTCTCCAGCTGTCCATAAAGTGTGATAGCAGAATGAATGCCAATGAAATTATGGAAGGAATTTTAAGTTTTCCCTACATTATCTAAAACAACTTCTCTAATATGTAGTAGGTAATTTGGGGTCACTGAACATTTAAGGTTTTAATACTAATATATTTCTAAGTTCTGATTGCACACCCCTCCACACTGATTTTTACAATATCTGATAAGGTCCTTAATACTGTTACACATTTTTTATGATTAAACTCTCCCCTTTGGACTGTATTTGATAAGATTAGAGCTTTTCCTACCTTATAGCAGGTATGAATTTCTTTCCATTTTTGCTGACATTCAGTAAAATTTTTATTCACATTGAACATTTTCCCATAACACACAGGATTCCTCCTCAGAATTTTTCTTAAGTTTAGTAATGTCTGAGCTCTGAGTTAAACCTTCATTATAAAAATTGAATCAATGTTTTCTCTCGGTTTTTTTTTTTTTTAATGTAGCGCAAGACTTGAGCATTTATTAAAACTTTTTTCATAATCATCAATAGCATTCATAAGTTTTTTTTCTGGTATAGTGTCTCTGAGTAAAGGTGGTGTGTACACTAAAGGTTTTCCCATATTCATCACATTTAGACTGTCTTGGCCAGAATGGACTTTCTCATGATCAGTAAGTTCAGAGAGTTGGGTAAAAGTTCTGCTGCACTGAAGACACCTGTGCAGTTTCTCCCCAGTGTGGATTCTCTGATGTTCAATAAGATCAGTGCATGTTCTGAAGGCTTTCCCACATGTATCACATTTATATGGCTTTTCACCAGTGTGGATTCTTTGATGGTTAATGAGATCAGAGCGCCGACTAAAGCTTTTGCCACATTGATCACATGGATATGGTTTCTCCCCAGTGTGGATCCTCTGATGTAGGATGAGAGCTGAGCACTGACTGAAAGCCTTCCCACACTCATTACACCTGTATGGTTTTTCCCCAGTGTGGGTTCTCTGGTGTTTGACAAGGTCTGAGTTCTGGCTGAAACTTTTGCTGCACTGTGTGCATGGGTAGGGTTTTTCTCCAGTGTGAATTCTCTGATGAAGAATTAGGTCGGAACTCTGACTGAAGGCTTTCTCACAACTATCACAGTGATAGGGCTTTTCCCCAGAGTGTACTCTCTGGTGTTTAGTGAGGTCTGAGCTTTGACTAAAGCTTTTATTGCACTGATTACATACGTATGGTTTCTCTCCAGTGTGTATTCTTTGATGTTTAACAAGGTCTGACCGACGACTAAAGCTTTTGGTACAATTACTGCATGGATAGGGTTTCTCTCCAGTGTGGATTCTCTGATGCAGAATAAGGTTGGAGCTCTGACTAAAGGTTTTCCCACATTCATCACATTCATAGGGTTTCTCACCTGTGTGAGTCCTATGATGTTTAACGAGGTCTGATCTTCGACTAAACATTTTACTGCACTGGTTACATGGGTAAGGCTTCTCTCCAGTGTGAATTCGCTGATGATTAATAAGATCTGAAAGCCTACTGAAAGTTTTGCTACACTCAGTACACGGATAGGGTTTCTCTCCAGTGTGAATTCTCTGGTGCAGAATAAGGACTGAGCTCTGATTAAAAGCCTTCCCACATTCGTTACATTTATAGGGCTTCTCTCCAGTGTGGATCCTTCGATGTTTAATAAGGTCTGAGTTCTGACTGAAACTTTTGCCACACTGATCACACGGATATGGTTTCTCCCCAGTGTGGATTCTCTGATGTAGAATAAGATCTGAACTCTGACTGAAGGCTTTTCCACACACATCACATTTATATGGTTTTTCACCAGTGTGAATTCTTTGATGTTTTATAACATCAGAACTCTGACTAAAATGTTTGTTACATTGGTTACATGTATAAGGCTTCTCCCCAGTATGGATTCTCTGATGTTTAACCAGGTCTGAGCGCTGGCTAAAACTTTTACTACAATGACTGCACTGATAGGGTTTTTCTCCTGTGTGGATCCTCTGATGTATAATAAGATCTGAGCTCTGACTGAAGGCTTTCCCACATGCATCACATTTATAAGGTTTTTCACCAGTGTGGATTCTTTGATGTTTAATAAGATCTGAGCTCCGACTGAAACTTTTTATACACCAATTACAAGGATAGGGTTTCTCCCCAGTATGAATTCTCTGATGCAGAACCAGAGCTGAGCTCACACTGAAGGCCTTTCCACACTTATCACATTCATAGGGTTTCTCCCAATGAATTCTTTGATGCCTAATAAGGCCTGTACTCCAAGCAAAGCTTTGTCCACATTCATCACAGTTATGTTGTCTTCTTTTAAAGAGGTTCTGATCCTTTTCATTTAATTTATCCCCAAATTCATAAAATTCTCTGCATTCAGAATCCTGGAGAACATCCTCTCTGGGGCTGTCAGACTCTTCAGTCAGTGGTTCAGTTTTTGCTATAATTTCCTCCTCTGAAGCCAGATCTCCAATCTTGGTCTTGGTCTCACCATCTAGAACAATAAACAAAATTCAAATGGAATGTGTTCTCCATACTGTAAGAAAGTTTCAGGTGAAACATCAGTATTTACCTATAAAATGTCATCACAATATGGGGTTCTACTACAAAACACAAAATTATCCTCTGAGAAGGAAACTAGGAAAAATCAATAAGTAATGGATCACAATAACCATTCAGAGAAGTGGCTTACCAGATTTGACCTGTACATGTTTATCACAGGAGATTTGGGAATACCAAAACCTAATCATAGTGACTAGGAAAGTTTGACTAAATTAGAGCTGATACATAAGCAATTAATGAATGTTTGTAAGGTAAGCAATGTGAATAAGTGGGGGTGGGGGGAGGTGGAGGGAAAGTAGGAGGAGGCAGCAGTGCCCAGGCTGTCACTGGGAAGGTATACCAACCAGGCTGGCCAGAGGCTGTCATTAGGGTAAAGAACGTAGCATCATGCCTAGGTATGGTCAAGACAGAATCCTAAATTATCAAAAACAGGTCTATAGATAATCTTCCATCTCTTTTATTCTGATTATTACCAAGGAAGTAGCCAATTATACATGAGCCCTTTTTCTGATCAGCCAAATTCATTGACCAAACTTCCTTACTAAGGTGTGTAAATCAGGAAAAGGTTAGAAAGGTGGGGTCAGAAATCTCTTTTGAGTTGATTTTTGAGGAGGCCATTCCTGTGCTCAATAATCCCAGATGCCTGTGATGGTAGGGAACATGAGAGCACCATTGAATTTCTTGATTGTCAGCCCACTGTTAAGTGGTGTTTACTATAAAATGCACACCATGGTCAGACTACAAGTGGTCTAGAGAGAAAACATGACACAAACTACTTTTAAAGGCTAACATCCAAAATCCCAAGCCTCCAAGTGGAGGCATCTTCCCTCCAGAGACAAAGGGCACTGGAAAAAGTAAAGTATCTGGGTAAATCTAAGTGTAACTGACTGATTTATACAATATGAATGTCTTATGGAGTTTACAATATACGTAGAATTAAAATACATGGCAAAAAACAGTACAATGGGAGAGAGGTAAATAGACCTAAAATATTACAGAGTCTTTGGATTATCCTAAAAGTAGTAAATTAAGGTAAACTATAATAAATGTGTATGTTGTAATTTCTAAGGCAGCCTTTTTCAACCAGGGTTCCACAACAAAAGAGAAAACTATTTGAGTGACTATTTTCTTAATTCTCCCCAAAATGGTACATGTATATCACAATAGGAGAGACATTAATACATTACTTACAATGGATGCTTTAGAGTACCTGGGCTAAATTCTCTCACAGAATCACACCTGAAAAAGGTTGCTATGAGGTAACCATTAAATAACAATAAAAGCATGTATAAACAAATTAATAGAAAAAGTTAAAAACCTGATAATGCAAAATTAGGCTAAAAAGGAGACGAAAGAAACAAAACATAGGATAAATAAAAACAAATAAGGAGATGGTACATTTACATCCAAACATCAATTATGTTACATGTAAATTAACCACTCCAATAAAAAGCAAAGAAAAATCAACAGCTAACATCATACTTAATGGTTAAATAATGAATGCTGTTCTTCTAGGAACAAGGGAGCAAAGCAAGAATGCCCCTTCTTACCACTTCTATTCAACATTGTACAACTTCTACTCAATATTCCTAGGCAATGCAATAAGACATAAATAATTGAAACACACAAATAAGAAAGAAAAAAGTCAAGCTGTCTTTAGTTACAGACTACACAATCACATATATAGAAAATCCTAAAGTGTCTCAAAAAAGCTATTAGAACTTGTAAATGAGTTTATCACAGCAATATACAAAAATCAATTGTATTGCTGTATATTGGCAATGAACAATTAGAATGAAAACTTAAAACATTTTTATCAATTGTATCAAACAATGAAATACTTAAAAATTCAACAAAATATATGCAATATTTTTATAATGAAAACTGTAAAACATTGCTGAGAGAAATTAAAGATCTAATAACCAGAAATATTTGCCATCATTTATGAACAGAAAGATTTAACATTGTTAAGATGGTAGAATTCTCCCCAAACTGATCCACAGATTCAATGCAACCCCATCAAAATCTCAGCAGGCTTTTATGTAGAAACTGACAAATTGATTCTAAACTTTTACGTAGAAAGGCACAGATGAGTCTAAACACTTTTGAAAAAGAACAAAATTGGAGAAGTTACACTACTTGATTTCAAGATTTACTATAAAGCCACAGTAATCAAGGCAGTGTGGTAATTGTATAAGGACAGACATACCCATTAATGGAACAGAACTGAGAGTAAATAAAGATCCAAACAACTGATCTTTAACATAGTTGTGACATAATGCATGGTGAAAGGGTAGTCTATTTCAACAAAACATGTTAGAACTGGATATCATAATGGCCAAAATTAACCCCAACTCTTTCCTTAAGTTACACAAAAAAATGAACTAGAAATGTTATATAAACCTAAACATTAAAGCTAAAACTATAACTTCTAGAAAAAAGCATAGATAACCAAAATTAATGCATAGAACTTGAGAAAATAAATTTGTGGTGTTTAAGCTACCCAGTCTGTGATATTTTGTTATGGAAGCCCTAGCAGACAAATATGGTATGTTTTTAAACTTTATACATTTATGGAACTATACCACATGTATTCTGCAACTTGCATTTTTTGCTCAACATTATGTTTAGAAGATTCATCTATATTCGTGTGTATAGCCGTAGTACATTCATGTTCATTACTATAGTGTAACATAAACCACAATTTATTTACCACTTCTCCTTCAATGGACAATAACATTTTCCTATTACAAACAATGCCAATATGAATATGCTGGTACATCTACCTCAGTGCACATATCCAAGTGTTTCTCTAGGTTATAAAAACTTAGGATCAGAATTGTTAGGTCTTCAACTAGATATTTCAAAGTGGTTAAACCAATTCCACTTTCATCAGGAGTGTATATGAGTTAACGCTGCTCTATATTCTAACCAACATTAAGTCTCTTTTTTTTAACACACTGCATCAGGCTCTTATCTCTATAACTACATGGAAACTACAATGACTGAAATCAATCTTATTCTTGATTTATTTGACATAGTTGATTACTCTCTTCTTAAAACATTTGCTTTCTTCTTGCAAACGTACTTTCTCCTAGTCCCCATACAAGTCACAGTGATCTTTACATGTTGTTATTCTATGTAAAGAGTTCCAATGGCTTCCCATTAAACTGGGAATAAACTCCAAATTTTTCCTGTGGCTTAGAAGCTTCCATGATCTGGTCCCTTTCTGCCCTCATTTCATTCCACCACCCTTATTACCTGAATAGCCCAGGCTTACTCTGCTCCTGATACATCTAGGGATCTCCTGCATTTGCTGTTCCCTCTGCCTGAACACTCTTCTCAGAGTCACATGGCTTGTTCTCTCACTTCACTTATACCTTCAACCATTTTTACCACCCCAGAAAGGTACACTGCTTGGTGAATCCTGATTTTGAGGCAACAGATACCAAAGCAGATCCTAGTTTGCTCTTGGGCACTAAGAGAGACCTAGTGCGTGACCACAGAGTACCAAATGACTATTACAAACTGACCGTTGTGTACTAGTTATTTAATCCACCAAATCGTAAAATTGGACATACAAACCTACATTCCATTGTAAAAGCAAGTCTGGAAGACAAGTAAATTCTATGTGTTAGTGACTCAGATTCTCATAGTGCCTGTTCCTGTTTCCACTCTCTCCCTCCCTCCACCTATATTCACAGCCTGATGGGAATTCCCTATTACCAGTTAACAGAGATAAAAAAGAACAGAACTGGTTTGCAGACGAGTCTGCCTGTGTGTTGGCATAAGCTGAAAGCGAACAGCTTTCACTTATACCTAGCTGTGGTCTCAAACACACCAGTGAAGGCAAATCTTCCTAGTGGGCAGAATTTCAGGTATACACTTAACTGTCCACTTTTCATGGAAGGCAACATAGCCTAAGATACCTGACTATATTGACTCATGGGTTATCTGATTAATTAGGTACCTGGAAAGAATAAGACTGGAAGACTAGAAACAAGGATTCTGGAGGGAAAGTATGAGGATAGACCTCCTAGAATGAACAAAGAATGAATATATTTCTGTCCCATGTGAATCCTTACCAAAGGGCATCCACTGTGGAGAAGCCTCCCAATCAGATGGACATGATGATTCACATTATGAATGCTGGTCAGCCTTTTGACCAATGCTTGCCCAATGAACTCATGTACAAAGCGGTCATAGCCAGCCACTTGGGGGAAGATTCATTACGCTCGACCCCTTCTAACATGGAGAGGGCACCAATTTTTTTCAAAGGACTAAATACATAGTCCAGGTACAAATTTGCACTGATTAAGAATACCATGGCTATATTTATTACCTGGTATTCTATTCAATATTGCCTCCAATGGAGTCATTTTATAGGGAAGGAAGTACAGTGGTGAGCTCACACTTACGTAATTCATGGGGCTTACTACATGCCCTGTCATCCAGACATGGATTGCAATAATGATGAAGTGATTTGCTGAAGGTTCGGTTTTGGTATCAGCTAGGCAACAACACCAAGTTTGGGGTGCTGTTGTACAGGCTGCAATATACCTTAAACTAGAGGAAAACAAACAATATTGTCTTCCTCATGGCCAGAATACAAGGGTAAAGGAATAGTAAGAATGTCTCCTCTTACTATATACCTAATAATCCACTTACATTATTATTATTTGTTGTTGTTATTGTCAATCCTCACCCAAGGATATTTTTTCCATCGATCTTTAGAGAGAGTGGAAGGGAGG